GCACATGGTTGGACAAAATAAGTACCAGAACAGGCAGCACCCATAGGTGTGTAATGGAAAAATTAGGCAAAGTTTTATACAGTTCTACATAAAAATACATATCTCAATAATCACTGCAGAGCTAGCATACTCCATATGCTTGTCAAATAAAAAAAGAAAAAAAACTCTAATATGGTGACACCTTGTCTTTACTAAAAATACAAAAATTAGCCACTTGTAGTGGCTTGTGCCTCTAATCTCAGTTACTCGGGAGGCTGAGGCAAGAAAATCACGTGAACCCAGGAGGCAGAGGTTGCAGCGAGCCGAGATCGTGCCACTGCACTCCAGCCTAGGCAACAGAGCGAGACTCTGTCTCAAAAAAAAAAAAAAAAAAAAAAAAAAATATATATATATATATATATACTCCATATATTTCTCAACTATAAAGAAAGAAAACTTCAGTTCAACAGTTCTCAAGATATTTCTAATTATGCATTCTTTCTAATGTTTTGGAATTCCTTTTCTCATAGATTTCATTTTTGAAGGTTTTTGGTCTTTCAAGAAGGTCACAATTAATGTTTTCCCCATTATACTAATCAAAGTCCTATATAACTGCCAGTGAGGAATTCTGAGTAATAAGAGATAAGCAGAGATATTACACCAATATAATTCAGTCCAATAGCTAGAAACTCAAGATTTTCATTAGCCATGAAAAGTTATTTGAGTAGATGCATAGCTTGCACCATGATTTGTTAGGTTCTTTTTCATTTGTTGGCTTTTTCTGTTGTGTTTGAGGAATAGTGAGTACCAACCACTTACTGAGCACCAGAAATTTGGCTCAGCAGCTTGCGTCCTCTCTCTCTAATGCTCTCAACTGCATCACCTTAAAGCCATTATGCTCCTTTCACTGATAAGAAAACCAGGTCTCGAGGTTAAAAAATACGCCCAATTACCCATTGAGTGAGTCCCAGAGTTCACATGATTCCAGGACTGTCTGACTTAAGACCTCCTGCCTTATCCATCCTACCAGGGGCTCTCCTTCTGGAAGCCTTTATCACAGACCAGCCATCAGGCCTTTGAAAATCCTCTTTTCGTAATTCGAATGCGCAGCCAGGGTGGAGGTCAACAAGTGACTGAAATAGCACCTGAACTCCAGCTCTGCTCCACGCAAGCCGTGAGGAAACATCGCAGAGCCCGCTACACACGGGTGGAACACACGCCACCTGGAAGGTGTTCTTATCATGGGACCCATCTGTTTCCCAAGGAAACGAAAGGTGTGTACCAAGATTTATGTGCAAGGATGTTCATTCACGATAGTGCTATTTCAAACAGCCCCAAATTAACTCAGATGAACAATCAGAAATTCATAGACCAATATGCATCTTCCAAAAACTATAGATTCTTTAACCCATTTCTCATTTAGAAAAAAGTGCAACTTGCTGTCTTTACATAAACATGCGTTTGAGGCTGCAGTAAATCTGATTTTCCATGTAAAAATAAAATATAAAAACTGTTCCTGGGCTGGGCGCAGTGGCTCATGCCTGTAATACTAGCATTTTGGGAGGCTGAGGTGGGTGGATTGCCTGAGCTTAGGAGTTTGAGACCAGCCTGGGCAACACAGTGAAACCCCATCTCTATTAAAATACAAAAAATTAGCCGGGCTTGGTGGTGTGCGCCTGTAATCCCAGCTACTTGGGAGGCTGAGGCAGGAGAATCACTTGAACCTGGGAGATGCAGGTTGCAGTGAGCCGAGACAGCACCTCTGCACTCCAGCCTGGGCGATCCAGCGAGACTCTCTTAAAATCAAAACAAAACAAAAACTGTTCTTGGAGTTATTTCTATACAGAACTTGTCTCTAATCCTAATGTAACATCATATACATTTCTGTTGCATTAGGATTAGAGATGAGTATTCTTGGGGCAAATAGGAAATGGGTTAAAAACTGGAAAATAAATAGATGTGGTGTTGAAAAATCATATTCATAGCATAATCCTATTAATCCTATTGTGAGATAAATACATTTGAACACTTACATGGTTCAAAAACACTTGAATTTTTATTTAGATAAATATGGATGTACATATATAAGTATCCATGTACATGTATATATATTCTCATTTCCCCTTCTTACACAGGGAGTATACAACATATATTATTCTGTACATCTCTTTTCATTTATAAATCCTAAACCTCTTTTTACATCTGTATACAGGGGCACTTCACTACAGGTATTTTTCTTTTTTGTTTTTGAGACAGTCTTGCTCTGTCGCCCAGGCTGGAGTGCAGTGGCCGATCTCGGCTCACTGCAACCTCCGCCTCCTGGGTTTAAGTGATTCTCCTGCCTCAGCCTCCAGAGTAGCTGGGATTATAGGCTCCCACCACCACGCCCAACTAATTTTTGTGTTTTTAGTAGAGACAGGGTTTCACCAGTTTGTTCAGGCTGGTCCCAAACTTTTGACCTCAAGTGATTCACCCACCTCAGCCTTCCAAAGTGCTGGAATTACAAGCGTGAGCCACCGTGCCTGGCTAAATACCAGTATTTTTCACTGGTGAACATACTTTTAATCAGTGCCTTGGTTTAGTTCCAATCTTTTGCTATTATAAAAAATGCTGAAATGAATAATAGTGTTTTATGTCATTTGGACATGTGCACTGGTAATTCTGATAGATACCGCCAACCTGCCCTCCATAGAAATAGCCCTAAACCCTTCTCCCACAATGTGTGTGAGAGCTGAGAGCGTACTGCTAAATGTCGGGGTTTTGCTAATTTGACAGGTGAAAATAGTACCACATTGTGGTTTTGTTTTTTTTCTTACTGTGAGTGAAGATAAACATCTTTTTATGTTTAAGGTCTATTTTATATTATTCTGTACCGTAGTTGTTCATGTCCTTTGACCATGTTTTCTACTGAGTAGTAATACAAATAGGCATGACACTCATTTATATGTGTGACTGTGTATTTCTGCAGACAAAGATAAAACAAAATGTTCCATGTATAGTAGGTGGGTGAAAAAATGATAAGTGATTGTGTGTTTTCTGTTTTCTCCAGTGAATCCTTTTAAAGTAAACATTTTTATACATTAGAATTAAAACAATGTGTTACCGAACATTGGGAAGGTTTTCTGGTTTGCCTACAATCAGCTTCAGTTTCTGTGAAACATGTTCTTTTGGAAACCAAGTAGAGAATCCTATTTGTAAACAAAGTAAGAACAACCAGACTTAAGAAAGACCAAATTTAATTTAGATCTACTCCTTGATTCTCATGAATTGATTGAATCTCTTTAGGGCAAATACCTGGCCTCTATAGAGAAATCTGGAATGATTTCTGCACTGGGAGAGGAAACTTTCAGATCACTAAGGGCTCTGTGGGGCTGATATCACTGGCCGGGGTACTGGGCAATGTGGCAACGTCTCCTGTGGTTTCACACTTCTTAGCGATTTCCTTCCCTAGTGCAAGCTGGGCTGCCCTGAACTTCAGCAGTGTAGAGACAGAACGCAGTGGTGGTGGAGGAGGCAGAGTGGGTGGTGGGAGGGTGCTGATGTGGCTGATGGTGTTTTATTTTCTCAGGCTTCTTTTGTTTACGTGCTCTGTCAAATGTGGTTGATTCATGGAAAATGCTCAAAGTCAAACCGGCCCCTACCGGTTGGGCCTGTGCATGAGGTGGCTAGGGTGTTATAAGACAAAACGAGGACAGTTAAACCACAACCAACTTTGCTCACTTTCAAGAGCCCACAGCTAATGGAAATAGAATATCCATCTTCACACATACAAGATCACTATCAAACACACTCTCCACGCTGTGGGTAGGTGGGGCTCCCTGCATTTGATACTCAAGGTTCATTAGCTACTAGGTGAGTTGGGAATCTGATGCCCAGGACTGTTCAAACACTGCACCTTCGGTCCACTCCCATGACACTGAAGAGCAGAGGACATCTTGCAGCACGGAGATGATCCTAACATTCCATCCAGTATCTGTACCTTACAGAGGCACCTGATTCAGAGACGCTAATACCTTTGGTTTCATTTCCTCAGTGTAAACAGGGTGACACAAGACTCATGAACCTGTTAGCACAGGTAGATCATAGATGTGGGCAACAGTGATATGCTTCTTTCTCCACAGGAAACTAGGGATATAGAAGCCCTGAGTTCAACTGTGTAACCAATGTCATAAATGGAATCATATCAAGTCCCTCTACAGAGACAAAATGACTTCAGCGTCAACCAGAGCAAGGATTACTAGAGGACATTAACATCAGATAAATAAGTGATAGGGGTCCATCAGAGGATTGCTCAGCAACGTGAGCATAAAGGACAAACGGCTCCACTCCTACTCCACCGAAACATGGCAGAGTGGGTACCCACACCCCTGTGCTGAATCTATGCAGTCCCAGGGGAATATGTAACTCAATCGTTGAAATAATCACTGTAGGCTCCTACAGTCTGACTTCCTAGCATATTCAAATACTATACCTCATTCCTCTTGGTCTGTGCTTAGAGAGGTGACTTCTGAGCCAGACTCGGCTTCCTTTGAGGATTGGCAACATCCTACTGGTTCACTCAACATGTCTGGGTGAGAGCTCCTTCTCAGGTGAAGTGAACAACCTGATTGGCAGCTTAAGCATCATCTGTGGGGTTGGTGTATATGCAACTCCAGTCCTGAAACAGGAGATTCTCACTCACATAACACCATTGAATTCTAAGGTTTTAGTCTCAAGGCCAGACATTGGAGATTTTCCTCACCCCTCCTCCACTATGAGACACTCATCCTGGTTATACTCCAGCCTCCCAGCAAGCCTCCCTGTTGCACTTTTGAGATCTGATCCACTCTTAGAACAAGCACAGATAGAAGTGACTTGATATGCACAAAATGTCAGTTTCTACCCAAGCCAGCATCATCACCACTACAGGCAATTAGGTTTTTCTTGAATGACACAATGAATGATGAAAGAAAACTAACAGACATCCTGACTTCCCATGAATCATTAAGGGGAATATTCATGTTTGAAAAAATAGCGCACAGTATAATTTAGTTCATTTTAATTGAAATTGGCTGAACGCAAAGGAAACATGATATGAATGGTTTAAGTCATTTTGTGCATTCAAAATAAGAGTATTTAGAACATTTCAGAACAATCTCAGAGAAAAACATGATTTCATGATAAAAACAATACAAATGTCTGGTGACATTTTACATGTATTCGCAATCCCTCTTTCTTCCCCTTTTGCAGGTCCAACACTTCAGACCACATACATAATGCAAAACAAGAAAAAAGCTAGCCACATTGACACGTTGGATTTTATTACACTTTTTAAAACTGTACAAAGAGCACATGTGCATGAGTTAAAAAACACAAGGGAAATGTAGGGTGTTAAAAAAAGAAATACAAAATAAATCTGAGACATGAAACAAAAAAATTCCATTCTATGAACTGAAATAAAAAGGTATCTTGCTTACTAAAAAAGTGTTATTTCAATATATTAAGTCTTTTGATTAGGAATACAGCACAAGACTTTCTTCACCTATTCGTTAACACATCAGACTCAGTCTCACTGAAGAGAGGATGAATCATGACATTACCTTACCGGCCACAGGCAGGTGACTAAATGTACATGGATATGGTACAATGTCTGTGAGGTATTACAATAAATAAATCTTTATTAGCTGTTCAATAAAGCCAGCAGTGGACGTCACCATTTCAACTTTACTGTCAACAGGCAGACTCGATTGCCGGCCTCTTTTTGCCTCGATGACTTTCTGTGAGGGTTTTTCACACTTAGAAAAAGAGAGAAGACAAAGTATTTGAGAAATAGCATTAAAACGCAAAATGCCATCGTCAGCTTACATGTACATAAAAGTCTGTGTGCTGAAGCGGGGCTGTGACAGACACACGAAGGACCATGGGTGTGGTCACACTAGAATTCATGTTAAAGTATTTCAGAAAAGGCTCAACTACCAGCATGCCCACCTTTTTGCTTCGTGTGTACATGACTGTGGTGGAGAGACGCAGCTGAGGTGTGCTGGGGGCTGAGGAGGCAGGCACAGGGGCTCCATGCGACATGACCTCGGCTGCCTCTCCCACCCAGTCACCCTCTGTCCCGGTTTCCCAATGACTCACAATCCGGGAGCTTTTTCCTTCTATTGTTAAACTGTCAGGCAGATTTGCTGCTACTACAATGTACTTCAATTGCCTTCTATTTATGAGGTTGAAATGATTTTATTTGATGACTTAAATTGGAGCCCATTAAGCATGACTGCTTTGGATGTACAGCAGCTTTCATCTCAGAGGCTCCAAAATCCTTGAGAAATACCCCAGTGAGGGACTGCAGTGGAGGTGGTACCAGACAGTGTGGGCCTGAGCCCCAGCGCTGCCACGTCTAGCTGTGCAGCCTTGGATAAGTGACCCATTCTATGTCTCTGCTGCTTCAAATGCAAAATGGAGGTGATAACAGCACTCGCATCTCACAGGACTGCTGCCCTTCTAACACAGGTTCATACTTATCATTAAAACAATGACATGTGACTGGCATGTAGACATTCTGGCTAAGTAAACTAACATAAATTCATCAGTATTCTTTAGAAATTTAGAAATCTGAGGTATTTTTCAAACCGTACAAATGTATACCTATACAAAAAATGTTAAGACACTTGATATTAATAAAATGTGACTGATAAATTCATGCAAGTAAGCCAAATCTGGCTATACTTAAACTCTTATTCTTTGAATTCTACTTGGACTCTACTCAAAGGAAATCTCCATACTTAACTACTTTGTTGTTACGGTTTCATTTCAAACACTTACTTTAACAAAAGTAGTACTCATAGTTCTAAAAGTGGTTTCTCGCTGTCCTGTTTTTCTTCAGCTTCTTCGGATCCTACATGGCGGAGAAAGGGAAGAAGAAAAAGTATTTCATTCCATTATAGTAACAAACTATTTTAAATAAATATGTTTAAAATTATAACATATACACACAAAAACATTAAACATGTTTAATCCTCAAGAGATTTAGGTTAACTGCTATTTGAAAGTTTTAGTTTATTTCTTGTAAGATGAAAACTTTTAAACAATAATCTATCACTTACACTAATCTGTCAAAATGGATTTCACTTATGTACTAAGAACATTCATGCAGACCAATAATTATTATCAATCACTATTCTTCCTCCACCTCTTTGCTGATGAGCTTGTATATATTTTTTACATGCAAAAATGTTGAACTTGGTACAAATAATCGAATCTAAGTGTTTCTAACAATAGCTGTGGCAGATGAGTGAGACAGCAGTGAGAGAGCACTGTGGCATTGACCACCGTCTGGACCTTCTGGATCAATGTCTCATAAGCTTCAGGATATTCCTAGATTTGACCTGGTCATTTCACTCTGGAATTCTTTCCTTAGGACAGACCTATCCCTGAGGAAATAATGCTTATTATTCATTATGTAGATTTTCTCTCTAAAAATTAGAAAAGAAACCTAAGTGTCTGATAATAGAAGAAAGGTTAATACCATAGTTCCATAAAATATCTTGCATCCACTTAAAATTATGGTTATATAGAATTTATAACATGAAAAATGCATATGCTGTAAGGTAAAAGCAAATGTATAGCAAATAAAACTTTATATGCCATGAGATCACATCTGATAAAATTAAAAACCAAATATATGTGTGCAAATGAGAAAAAGTAGAAGAAAATAACCATGTAACTTTTATATATTTTTCTGGATATTTCAACATTTCTACAATAAACCTGAATTGTCTTTATTATTTTTAAATTATATTTTTAAAAAGTAGAATATGAATAATATAGGCAGCATGGGCACAATGATGTGAGATTAAACACACACACACACACACACACACACACCAAGAAGGAAACTAAACTGTCAACACTGATGTTACCAAATAGTTTGAAGGACACGTAATTTCTAATTTTTGTTCTTTCCACTTTTTTAAATGCATGACTTTCATACTCAGGGAAGGGGAATTTAAAAAAGGGGGAGGGGGCCCTGAGAGAAGACCAAAGTAGTAGGTGAGAGATGCCACCAATTCACATGTAAAAGCCGCAGCCTCTCTCAACTGCACCTGAATCTTGTTAGACAACATGCTTTATAAAGGACATTCTTTTTTCCTTAAAAGAATGTCTACCTGAATTATAGCCAATAACAAATTTGGTATAGGGAAAGAACGCCTGATAATCTAAAGAGAACATTTTAACCTCATAAATGTCACATGGTTAGGTTGAATTTGTAGTAAAATGAATAGGTAAAGACTTAAATGTTGAAGGCTTTACTTTCTAGCCTATTAACATGCTGTCCATCATAGAGACAAGAGGTGGTGAACTGCCTGTCCTCATTGTGGAAGGAGGCTGAGGAAGATGGTCACACCAGATCTTCCTGTTCCCAGGCTCACTTCAACCTGCCAGGCCAGTGGCACTGAAACCACAATGAGTTGCCATGTCTTGGAATTGTTTGGGAGTCCTAAATAAAGCTAAACCCTTAATTAAAACATAACAATATGTCTTCTTTACATATTTGTAAAGGGACTTCTGGCTACAGCCAAGTGAAGAAGTCAATAAATCCTTTCCCTGACAAGCACCCCCAAAATGTGGCAAAATGGGCAAAACTAGCCATCTCACCACTGGAGAAATAACCAAAAGCATACAACAACTGGAGAAATGTTTACGTTTGAAGCACTGCAGAATTCAGAGAATAGCAGTCGTGTCTTGCCTGGAGCTGCTCCTGTTCTTCTCCAACCTCCCAATACCCAGCTCAATGGCCATGGAGGTTCTGCCAGGGTGGGGCAGGCCATGGGAACTGGCAGCAAAGCTACTCAGTTGAAGGGAGATCACTTAATTTGGAGTGGGGAGCCATGCTCATGCCCAGTGACACTGACAATGAAGTGACAAATTCAGAGGCAAGTGAACAGAAAGGGCCAACTACTCTGGGAGCCTGAGTTGTGGTCACCACTGGGACAAGCATATGCCCAGCTGGGGTTGTCTCCATGCACAGAGGAGACCCAAGAGAGCCCAAGCCAGTCAATTAGCCTGAGCTCTAAGCATATGCAGACAGAGCAGGAAAGGACTTAGCAGAAAGTAAAAGCTGGGGAGGACTTGAAAATGGCCTGAACTCTGAAGGTGCTATCCAACCCATGTACATTTCTACCTGGCAGAGGATGGAAGCCTTAATCCAGGTGTTTCAGTGCAATCCTCTTTGTAATCACAAGCTAGGCTCTGCCTAATCAGTAAGCTCTAGACACGGGTAACTCCTAGGAAGCTAGGCTTAAAAATACAGGCAAGAATTAATTAATGGACAATAAAACAAGAAGTAGCCACACATCCCAGGGTGTATAGATTTCACAGATTTAGCACAGACGATTTACTAAACAAATAAAGAGCAATAACAGTAACCTTTTAGGAAAAAAGTCAGAACCTAGAGTTAGTTACTTTATTTTCAGCAAAATACTTTTCATCAAAAAATACAAGATAGGCAAAGAATCAAGAAAGTGTGACCATTCCCAGGAAAAAATGACAGTCAAAACAAACTCTCTCTGAGTGAGAGAAAAAGACTGAAGAAAGGCTGAAGCGCTCAGAGACATCAAGCATATCAATCAACCATGTAATGGGAATCCCAGAAGGAGGAAAAAGTCAGAAAAAGTTTGAAGACTTAATGGTTCAAATTTCTCAAACTGGCTGAGAAATATTAATCCACATATTTTATAAGGAGAATAAACACAGATTAGGATATATACAAAGAGATCCACATGCAGATACATCCATGTCAACCTGCTGAAAGCCAGGGAACGCATTCAAATGAAAACACAACATATCAAAATTCATGTGATGTCACTAAAGCAATTCCTAGAGGAAAATTTATGGCTTTAAATGGCTATATAAGAAAAGAAAAAAAGTATCAAATCAATCATACAAGTATTCACCTTAAGAAAGCAGAATTAAAAAAATAAAAAAATTGGTTTGGCACAAAATCAGTTTATAGTAAACTGATTTTAGCAAATGTGTCAAATCAGTTCAATGGGGAAAGGCTGTCATTTCAAGAACTGGTGCTGTTCAACTGAATATCCAAAAGCAAGAGAATGATAATCCCTTACCTCCTCCATATTTAAAAATTAATTCAAATGTATTGTAATCTTAATTGAAAGATGTAAAACTATAAAACCTTTTAGAAGAAAATGTAGGAGAAAATTTTCATGTCATAGAGTTAAGGTAAAGAGTTTTTTAGATATGACCACAACAAATACATTATCCATAAGAGAACAAATTCATAAACTACACTTAATCGAAATTTAAAACTGGTGCTTCAAAAGACTCTGTGAAGCAATGAAAAGACAAACAATAGACTGGGAAAAAGATTTGCAAATAATATATGAAAGCACTTCTATCTAGAATGTATAAAAAATTCACACAACTCAATAATAAAAAGACAACACAATTAAAGATATGGCAAAAGACATGAGATAGATTTTTCTCTAAATAAGACTTATGAATTACATATAATAGAAGCATGAAAAATATCTCAGTATCACTACAGACATACAAATTAAAACCACAATGAGATACCATTTTAAACCTGCTAGCCTAGCTATAATGAAAAAGACCCAATACTAAGCATTGGTGAATATATGGAGAAACGGAAATGCATATACAGTAATCCCCCTTATCCCTAGATGCCGGAAACCGCAGACAGTACTGTATCCTATCAATATTATGTTTTTTCTTATACATACATAACTATGAAAAAGTTTACTGTATGACAAACGTGACAAAGTTCAGCATGTGATTTTTTTTTTCTTTTCTTATTAAGGTGAGAACTGTCACTTTTTCACTTAAAGGAAGCACTTTATGGTTTCTCTTTGGCATATATGAATTGCCAGAAGTACTACTTTGCCGTTGTTAAGTGAAATAAGGATTACTTGAACACAAGCACTGTGATACTGGGATGGTCGATCTGATAACCTGAATGGCTCCTAAGTGACTACCAGGTGGGCAGTGCACACAGTATGGATCTGGACAGAGGGATGATTCACCTTCCAGGCAGGACGAAGCAGGAGAGTGTGGGATTTCATCATGCTACTCAGAACGGCACACAATTAAAAACTCACGGACTGTTTATTTCTGGAATTTTCCATTTAATATTTTCAGACCTGTTGACCTCAGGTAAGTGAAACTGTGGATAAGAAGGGACTACTGTACATTGTTGGAGGGAATGTAAAATAAAACAGCCAAGATCAAGAACAGTTTCACAATTTTAAAAAAAGTTAAACTTGCCATACGACACAGCAAACCTTCTCTTAGAAATCTGTTCAAGAATAATAAAAACAAACATCCACACAGAGGCATGTATGTGAATGTTCATAGCTGGATTACTTATGATAACCAAAAGATGGAAACAATCTAAATGTCCATCAACTTGTGGATATAGACAAAATGTTGTATATCCATAAAATAGAATAATATATCCAGCCATAAAAAGGAGCAAAACACTGATATATGCTACAACATGGTTGGTCCTCAAACCTTATGCTAAGCAAAAGAGGCTGGATGCAAAAAACCATGTATCATATCACTACATTTACATTAAATGCCCAGGAAAGGTAAATTTGTCAAGATACAAAGAAGATGAGTGGTTACTTAGGATCAGAGGTAGAAGTGGGGATTAACTGCAAATAAGTATGGAAGAGGTTTTTCAAGTGATGAAACCTTTCCAAAATTACATTGTAATATTGGTTAAAAATTTATAACTTTAAAAATCATGCAATTATACATTTACAATGAAATGAATTTTATTATATGCAAATTACATCTCAATCAAGCTTTTTAAAAAAGTGAATATTATTCAGTATCCCTGGTAATCATTTTTCAGTAATTTTCAAAATTTTAATTAAAAGGTGGAAAAACTGTTTCAAATCTATTCACTACACATAGGGTGATCATAGAAATCATCATCTAAACAAGAACACTGCTGAGAGATACAGGGCTTCTAATAATAACTACATGTGGCAACCAGAAGGAGGCAGGGCTGCTGCAGGCAAACCAGGATGCAAGGCTACTCTGGGGAGGTGGCAACTTAGAACTGTAATGAATGCCTTATCTAGACTTGCACAGGACAGGCTATATGATGCAATTGAGCAATTCCTCATTTTAAGTTAGTCTTTCCATGGTCTAGGAGGTGAAGAATTACCCTTTCTTCAGCTTCACAACTGGTTCATTTAAGCTCTCTGACCACACATAATTTCAACCCAGTCATCTGATAGAGGATCATGCTTCCTCGGTCTTTCCACTTAATACACAGGGATGCAGGATGTGGTCTGATCAATAAACAAGCCTGCAAACAAACTATTTTTATATCCTTTACAAGTGTATCTAATAAACTGTGACACTAAAATTCAGGCTGTTCCTTCACAAGGAAAACTGCTAACATTTTTGTTTATGGTGCCTCCTATTTCTTTCCCTTTTCTTTTCATCCCTTTCTTCAACAGTTATAAGTCTAATATAAGCCAGGTACTGTATTAGGTGGTGGAGAAAAAAAAAAGACAACAAAAGGCACGTCAGGCCTTTTTCGGACGCCTTCATGTGTACCAGGGAAGTCAGCACTGTAGCAGGGCAACAGCAGCTTAGAACATCAGCTACTGAAAGGCTTGAATTTTTAGCTGTTGGCATAATGGAAAAGCTTTGTTCTAGAGTAGTCTTTTTTTTTCTAGGCATATTAATTCCAGTAAGAGTTTTCATTTTTAATTCTTTCCTAAATTGAACATTCAGACAATGCAAATATAATAAGGTAGTCCACTCTGACCCCTCCTTCTCTGCCCATTAGTAACCTGTCTTTTGTCAAACAAAGCAGCTACACAGTGGAACGCCAAGAAAATATTTTGTTCTTTTTACCTTCCTAACTCAAGGAAAGGGTAATGCTCCAGGATACCACTAGGTGGTGGTAAATGATAAAGGTGAAGTGCGGATGGATCCCAGAACTAGAAAGCTTGATGAGGCTTGCTTGAGGTGGTGGTCCTCATGTCACTACTGTTCTATGTTCTGAACTCTAGTTAAGAAAATACATTAGTACTGGGAACCTGTATTCGTCTTAGAAAAAGAAGTAGAGATGCATGAACTCTAATATGAATTTCCTTTTCTCACAGAGTAAAGTCCTATGACACAAAACTTCTCAATGAAATAATCCTTATGAGGTAATAAAGAATTTAATACTTAATTCTAGTTTTTACTGTTATAGAAACAGATTTTCTACTAATCCATATCTGTGTCTCATCTGGCTCCATGTTTCTGTGTGGTACGCTGCGTTCAGATCCAACACCAATAGTCCGGAATCTCAAGTTACTTGGAGTTCCTCCAGCACACTGATATTTCACACTGCTGCACCTTCAATCATTCACGGCTCTTTCTGTCTGGAATCTGTTTTATCACTGTGTGTGTGTGTGTGTGTGTGTGTGTGTGTGTGAGAGAGAGAGAGAGAGAAAATATTAACTAGGCCTAATGTAGGGGATAAAATGATGTAGTCCCTAAATTGAGTTTACAACCCAGCAGTAGAAACAGACCAGGTCAGCGCTGAAGGCAGTGCAGACAACACAGGATGACACGGCTGTGGAAGAGGTTCCAAAGAACATGCCGAGGATGTTCTAAGACTGCTGCGAGAGACGGGAAGGGTAGGCATGGCTGGGAAGAACCTGGGAACATGTGAGCAGACACTAAGACTGCAGAGGAGATCATGTTCAGAATGGAAACAGCAAGGTGGACAATGGCTGGAGGGCTCTGGAGCACAGCATTTTCACAAGAGCTATGAACAGCACACGAGAAGGCAGTCGCAAGGTGAGAAACTAGACAACTGGTGACAGTGCCCCCAGGGGCACTTCCAGCCAGGCTAAGATCTACTGATTTCTTGATCCTTTATGCCACTGAAGGGCTTTTGAGCAGAGGACTGGCATGACCAAGTCTGTATTTTCATAAACACTAAGAGGCTAATATACTATAGCAGTTATAAGCATGAACTCTAGGACTAGACCCCAGATTAAATCCCAGCTACACCACTTATTATTAGTGTGATGTTGGGCAAATTGCTTCAATTCTCTGTGCCTCATTTGCTCATCTCTACATTAGGGATAATATGAGTTTTACATCACAGAGTGGAGCCACTTAGCAAACATCTAATATGCCAGGCATTAAAAATATGAAAATAGGTTAGACACAATCTTACAAGAGAACAGTGGTAAGACACAGAGTTGTAAAAATGAATGTAATAGATTAGACAGTATGGTTTGTGATCTGTATCTCAGAAGATAAGCAAGGGAGGAATAAATGAGTGAATATTAATAAAGCTTAGAACAGCACCTGACAACTTAAAAAAGTGTTAGCAGTTTTAAAAATAGTATTTACCAAAGAAAAATATATTTAACATAAAATTTACCACTTTAACCATTTTTAAGCGTGCTGTCCAGTGCATTAAGCTCATCTACGCTGTTGTGCAGCCATCACCAACATCCACTTTCAGAATGGCAATCCCATTCTGAGAATTTGACTTCTCTAGGTATCTCATCTAGTGAAATCATATGACAGCCCTTTTGTGTCTGGCTTATTTTACTTAGCATAGTGTGTTCACAGTTCATACATGTTATAGCATGTGTCAGAATTCTATTCTTTTTGTTTTTTTTCTTTTTTAGTAGAGACAAGGTCTCACTATGTTGCCCAGGTTGGTCTTGAGCTCCTGGGCTCAAGCAATCCTCCTACCTCGGTCTCCCAAAGTGCTGGGATTATAGGCATGAGCCACTGTGCCCAACTTTCCATTACTTTTTAATGCAGAATAATATTCCACTGGACATACATACATGTTGTTTATCCATTCATCTGCTGACAGCTGTCTGAGTTGTTTCCACCATTTAGCTACTGTGAATAACGCTGCTATGAGCATGGGTATACACATATCTGCTGTAGTCTCTGCTTTCATTTCCTTTGGATACATACCCAGGGGTAGAACTGTTGAATCATATGGTAACTCTATGTTTAATCTTTTACAGAAACACCATACTGTTTTCTACTGGGGCTGTATCATTTTACATTCTCACCCATAATGCACAAGGGGTCCACTTTCTTCATATCCTCACGAATATTTATTTTCTGCCTTTTTGTTTGGTTTTGCTTTCTGTAATAGTCATCCTAATGTGTACGAAGCGGTATCTTGCTGTGGTTCTGATTTGCATTTTCCAAATGATTAGTGATGTTAAGCATCTTTTATGTGCTTATTGGCCATTTGTGTATCTTCTTTGGAGAAATGTCTATCAAAACCTTTGCATATTTTTTTAATCAGGTTGTTTGTTTTTGTTGTTGAGTGTAATTATTATTATTATTATTATTATTTTTTTTTTTTTTTGAGACGGAGTCTCGCTCTGTCGCCCGAGCTGGAGTGCAGTGGCCGGATCTCAGCTCACTGCAAGCTCCGCCTCCCGGGTTCACGCCATTCTCCTGCCTCAGCCTCCCGAGGACTACAGGTGTGCACCACCGCTCCCACTCCCTTTGATAGAGACAGGGTTTCGCCATGTTGACCAGGCTGGTCTCGATCTCCTGACCTCGTGATCCGCCCGTCTCGGCCTCCCAAAGTGCTGGGATTACAGGCTTGAGCCACCGCGCCCGGCCGTAATTATTATTTTTAACAGAGCACTCTGGTTGCTGGTTAGCGAAAGACAAAACCAGAGGCAGGGAGACAAAGGCTGTTGCAGAAACTGCAGAAAGTAATGCTGAAATGAGGCTGGAGCTGATAAGAAGTGGCAGGATTTGAACGAGAAAATGGAGGTAGAAATGAGGGAGAGAGGATGGAAACAGTTTTGTGAATTATGAGAGGTGAGCCATAAGAACGGGGTGGAGCCAACAGTGAGGCTCTGGTGTTTGATCTGGGCAACTGGGTGGACAGTGCTGCCATTCTCAGACATGGGAGTCCAAGAGGGAGGCTGGTTCGGTGATGAACTGGAATAATGAGAGCACTGAGACCCTTCCCCTCGTCTGTGTGTCTTCTAAGATACATATCACAAACCACGATGTCTAATCACTCCTCCATGACATTTATTTTTACAATTCTGTGTCTTACCACTGGTCTCATGTGAGACTGTGTCTCACCTATTTTCATATCCCTAATGCCTGGCATGTTAAATGTTAGCTAAGTATATTGAGAAATAGAGGGGGTAGGGAGAGGGAGGAAGAGCAGAGCTTTTGAATGAGAGAAACAAGCACAAATAATAATGAAGTTTTTTACCTGCTTCAGATTCAGGAGGGGAATAAAACTGACCATCAGAAAGACCACCAGGTATAAGTGCTGCCCTCTCTGAAGCATCCTGAACTATCAGGAGTCCTGGAAGAGAAGAAATTCAGATGTTGGGAATGAGGTCACCTTTCTGGTAGCTTTTTGGCAAGATTAAGTAAAATAAAATAGTATTATTATTACAATGAAATACCTTTAGAAAAAGAGGTACTTTAAAAATTTTTCAACCAAACAATAAGTTTCATTAACAAACGACAAACAATACTGTAAGGACAGATAACTAAGCAGTTTAAATAAGTGCCTCATGGGGCTGAGCATGGTGCCTCACACCTGTCATCACAGCATTCTGGGAGGCCAAGAATGGAGGATCGCTTGAGCCCAGGAGTTTGAGACCAGCCTGGGCAACATAGCAAGACCCTGTCTCTACAAAACATTTAAAAATTAGCCGAGTGTGGTAGCGCATGCCTGTAGTCCCAGCTACTGGGGAGGCTGAGGTGGGAGGGTTGCTTGAGCCCAGTAAGTTGAGGCTGCAGTGAGCCATGATTGTGCCACTGCACTTCACAAAGTGAGACCCTGTCTCAGAGTAAATAACTGAGTATTTACATCTTTCCCTTGTGAATACCTGCCTTCCTACAAAAAAAGCACAATTTCAAAACCAAAACGAAAGTAAAATAAAAAAGACAGTCAGCTCCTACAAATGGTCTGCTGGCTATGTCTCGTTAGAGAGATGCCAGATGTAAAGTGCAATACAGGGATGGCCTTTTATAAATATATAAAGAACAATTAAGATGACAAACGAGGAAATATTTATGCAACAAGAAGGTTTCAAAAGAAAAAAGATGTCTTAAAAAAACAAAGAAAAGGTAAGAAAGCAGGACGTGGACAGCTGAGGAACACTAACACATGCAAGGCCATCAACACTTAAGTTCTTTTGACTGAAAGCTGAGTTAACCTTAGGATAGAGTAGGAGAAAGCACCAGGCCAAATAGTAGATGCCAGGTATGTGTGTCATACATGCTACTGACAATGAAAATAAGTGCTATTTTAAAAATTTTCATTAATTGTGTGTTCTGCTTTATTAGTCACTTTGAATGTGGTTTAGTCCCATAACCATTCAAGTCTCAGTCATAGTTATAGTTGATAGGTTTTCAATAAAGTTCAGTTTCGTATTTATATACAATTAAAAAAGACTTTAATTAGCTTTACTCATAACCTCTCCACAATACACTTTCACAAAGGAATAGAGGGCACAGGATAGAAGGTACACCTCAGTCTGATTAATGGGTTTTAAAAATCTACTCTTGAATTGTAATTCTTTTCTTGCATATTTCTTCTATGTAAATGAGATTTTCCAAAGTAAAATCACTTGCAAGATTATTTTGCATCCTGCTGCTTTTTGAAGTTATAATCATGTTTACCTTTCTATAAGATACTTTTTTTTCCTATGAGGCAAGGCAAATTGAGCCAGATGACTGGCAGAGGCGTAAAAACAGCATGTCTTGAAACTGCATGGGTGTCTGGAACGAGCTTTGATTGTTTCATCCTTAAGATGGGTGGGTGGGGCAGGTGGGCTTCCATTGAGGACATTATGTGGAGAAGAATTCCAGCTTGGTAATTGACCATAAAGCTTAATCAATCATTTGGCCTTCCTAGTGAATATTCTGGGATACTCAAAGCCATGATGAGATTATAGCAGCTTTGGCAGGACTCATGAGTACACCCTGTTAGCTATGACTCAGCTACTCAGAGGACGTTGAAAGGCTGAGCTTCGCTCTGGATTGCTGTCATCCTCCTGTGAATAATCTTCATCCTAAACCCACCAATGGTCCTCAGCCCTAGGCATTTAACTGTTCTAACTGTGGCCCATCTGAAGCCACCAACTGCTGTATGGATCACAATGGGAGACTTTGGAGAATCACTGGCTTGTATTTAGAATAGTTGCTTCTACTCACTTAAAATTGGTTTTATTTTCTCTGCCCCTAAACAGCACAGTTCTGTTCATATGCAAAAAAATGCTTTGTGTCCTGCCTATTGCTAATAGGGAGAAAAGAACAAGCTGTCTGGGGAGAAAGAAGTGCAGGCTATTTTTTGTTATTGCTTGAATGCTCTTTACACCAGTGTTCACATTTTCTTCCAGGGGAAGCCTAGCTCAATAGCTGGAGAGAGGAGCTGCTTTCTATTATTTACCCTTTCATCCACCCAACCCTTCTCTCGATTTCTGCTGTAGCCACTAAAGAATGGAGACCCCACCACTTCCTAACTCTACCCATTTGCAGCCCGATTCACACCAAGACACCATATCTCTTCCTCCCAGCTTGGTACCCAGTCCGTCTCAGGAGGCTGACTCTGAGAGGAACTTACTGTTTTCTTCCTCTGCTTCTTGAGGTAACACTTTGAAATCCAGGAACCATGTCTCAATCCAGGCAAGGATGAATGAAATGATGGGCAGCACATAGCCAAAAGCCCCTTGAGAGAAAAGCTGGAAGAAAAGATATGACCAGGAAAGGGAAATGCAGTTACCACAAACTCACACTGGACAACGAGGCTTCATCACTGAAGATGGTAACTGTACAGAAACAGTGGTAGGCCATACCTTTGAAAGGATCACTTTTGCTAGTAAAAAGGCACTGGTCACTGCCGTTGTCAACTGCAAGACACATAATCCAGCACTGTTCACATTAGGCATCTCACACTGTGAAGGTACCTCCCTCTTCACAAGACACCCATCTGAGCTAGGAGCAGGCAATGCCTGAAAAACCTGTGCCTAGCCTGGCTCCTTCCCATATCACTCAGTCTCTATCCCCTAGACCCACACTGCAGCAAAACGGGCTTCTATATGTGACACGATCCCTAAATGACTGCATGTGGTTTCTCCTCCCACATGTCAGCAAGCTGGTGTGCTAGGTAACTAAGATTTATCTACCAGAAGGTACAATTTCACAGCCTCTACAAGCACATGAACAGACCGGTAAAGTGCATAGGTAGGGCTCTCGTCAGGGGTTGTGAAGTCCAGAGATACCGTAATACCTGAGCCTTGTCACTGTCTCAGTCAACTAATATTTTTAGCATGGTGAAACCTGACCAAAATGAATACCAATAATAGCTTGATCGACAGAAGGGAGGACAGGGAACACCAAGTATCTTGTTCAATAAGTATTATCAAAGTTGCAGACACACACACACACACACACACACACACACACACACATATACACACACACACACACAGAGTAAGCTGCTTGGGAGAGGAGGCGGTTTAACATTTCATATTATGACACTAATTAACTTTACAGGCTCACACTAAGTGCTCTTTAGATACCAGCTGACTTCTCCTCCTTCCAGCTTCTGGACTCTTCTCTGCAAATGTTTTTTAAAGCAAGAATCAGAAGCAATAAAATGATTTGCTAAATTAGACTTATTCTTCAGATAATCTGAAAGCAGATATTGAAGATACTGTCTTACAGCTCTCACTGAATATACATGTCAAACACTTTTCTAAAACAAACATTGAGAGGGATGGTCTGACAAATACTAGCATACATATGGGGACTTAGGAATATAACATCCCAAAGGGATCTGTTGTAGAAAATGCAGAAAAATGGGAGGGTACAATCATCAAAAGCTATGAGTATATCAGCAAAAGAGTATTCAGGAAAGGGAGTCAATTCTGGCCAAGACTGCCAGCCTATATCCATGAAATGAGAGCTTCTGGATTAACAGATGGTCTGACCACTGCCCCGTGATTCTGAGAATGCTCAGAACAGATGGCCCCGACAGATATCGCCCCCAGGTGGACTCAGGAGGGCAGCCTGGGCCACCCAGACCTGAGGTCTCGCCTTCTAATAGCAGAACTGCAGGTTATTTCTGAGCAGTTCTCTCTAGTCTGAGGAGCTCCACATTTTCTTCCCACAGAATTGACTTACTAAAGCTGTACAAAAGGCAAATATTCAGACAACTGTCAGGCAGAATTGCTAGCAATACTATCAATCTCTAAATATTTATTAAGAATACCAAAGCTCTCTGTGCTAGATGCAAGGAAACAGAGGAGTAAAAAAGTCCTTGTCCTTGAGAAGCCCAAGGCAACAACAGAAAGATTGAGAGCTTTTCCCTCCAAGATGGGGGGTTGTGGGGAAGAAAGAAGGGGCTAAGGCAATTATCTAAATAAGTACGGACCATATCATGAAAAACAATCACTAAGCAGTTTCAACCAAGTAAGACATTTTCCAAATATCTCTGTGACAGATGTATTACTCCCATCTCTTATTTGCAAAATAAAGTAGAGGGTGGCTTGGTGCTTGGCCAATAATCACTGTTGGGCTTCTAGATTCCTCATTTGGCTCAGCACCAAGAGACAAATCTAGTTACTCATTAACACTGGAAAGAAGCCCTGGAGTATTAAACCTACTTAAGTATGGAGGAAACAGGACTCAGGAAAGCTAGTGGGATTCCACCTGCATTAGAACTGTATCTTCTCCAGCCCAGGCCTATAGAGAACAGCACCTGGCCACCAGCACTGGAGGCGATGACCCACTCAAGCAGGGCATACTCACCGCTATTGCCCACCAGTGGCGCAATCTGCACACAGCATATGCAAGTATTAACACTTTAAATCGAAAAACTGCCAAAAGCTGAAAGCAAGAAAAGAAAGAGATGTTTTAAAAAAATATACACAAAAATGACATAGCTTTATGAAGAACTTACCAGACTGTCTTCATTATTGTGATTTAGCTGGAGACTACCAGGGACTGGCACTGGTCTGTAGACCAGCATTTGGGAATCCCTGCTCTAGAACTTAATGTAATAGCAAATTAGGTCTCACATTAATCTCCCTTTATGAAAGAAAGAACAAGGCAAGAAAAAAAAAAGATGGCATTTTTATCATCCTATTATATAAATAGGTGAATTTTCCTTTCAGTGACTAGATATGTCAATAGGTTCTATTTCAGTCATTTGAAAGAATAAAGGCTCTCCAACAAGAAAATAGGAACGGCTCCTTATGCTGCCCTCCCTTATCTGTCATTAATCTTTTATTTCCTTGAGATGGTCAGACAATTCCTTATTTAGAGAGAGAGAGCATTGAATGGTGGGGAATTAAAAGAAAAGGAAAATATGGTCAGTGTTCAAAAGAGGAAAAAAGGGCATGGAATTTGAAGTCTATTTAGAGGAAATCTGCCTTTTGGGTCAGTTTTACCACATCTGAAATGAAACATAATACTTACAAATATATCAAAATACGAAGAATAGTAGTCATACTGCATCACCTCCTTCTCTAATGTGTTCTCAATGCCTCCATTCACCTAGCAAGGAGAGTAAGAAGCAAAAACAAGGAGAGGTTTATGTGTGGAATTAAAACACAAGGGTAAGATTTCCTATCCAACTTTCCTGCCTATCTTCTTAGAACCCAGAAATGTTAAAGTACGGAAGAAAAGAACTCTCATTTTAATAGAAAAGGGCTGGATAGCACTTTCTGATTCCTCAATTCTGAATTCATTCATTCAACAGATATAACTGTATAGAGAAAAATAACAGCTTCTGTAGTTCAGAATTTGGGAAAATTAAAATGTTAAGAAAATTATTTTTTCCCTTCTAAGATAAAGTCTTCAATCATACAAAAGTATACTTTTAAAGGCAATTCACCTTTATCCAGGACTCCCTCACTTTCTGATCACTCTCCACAGTCTTAGGTCTTGGAAGGCCACGGCTCCCCTGACCTCCTGGCAAACGTCAATGATGGCCATTAGCATGACACAGGACAGAAGTGTAAACATTCTCTGTGGCGGTTTCTCATTTTTATTTCTCCTGGCATTTAAACATTCTGCACTTTTATCAATTTAAATATATTTTTAACATGGATAACAAAATAAGGACAGTACTAGACTCAAACCTGATACAACTTTCTGTCCTCTCCCAATTCTACTGTCAAAATAAATCTTATATCATCGAGTTCAAAATTTGACAAATTAAACTATGGAGCTTAATACTTTTAAAAAATCAAGTAAGGGGACATGTGTTGGCAGCTAACGCAGCACCCAAGCAGGGTAACTGTCAGAGTCTCTGGATTAGCCTGATCAGAGGGAGCAGGACATGCAAAAGTAAATTCAAATTTCCAATGCAGAGCATGGGCCTGGCAAACAAATGCAGAGAGCCTGAAAAAGGACCAAAGGAAGGACAGTTAACCAGAGACCTGGATAAGAGGGAAAACAATAAGGAACACCTTTGCCAGGTTCAAATTCGAATGAAAGTTGCCATAGGGAAGGGTATTCTTAGCTTAGATGTCATTTCACATATTTGTATTTGTTATGCAAATGAAAGCATACCATAAATACTATCCTGTGCCTTAAAATCCCTTAAGGAGGTCTACATTTCTTTGTAATTAGCTTGGATCCTCTGTAGACCTGCTTGGCTATAGACCTTTACAAATGAATAGAATTGAAAACCTGGGAGGAAGGAGGAATAATGATTGAAAGACACCCAACCATTTAGTCTCATTGCTGTGTCTCTCCGGACTGAGGAAACTTGCCAATATCCAGAATATTAAAAGAATGAATATTCCAAGCAGCCTATAGCAAACAGGGGTTCTCTACCACTTAGAGACCTCCCCTTGATTCCTGGGAGAACAGGAATCAAAGCTGCCAATACAGTTTTGCAGTAAATAACCCATAGCTTTTCACTGGTATCTGCATACTTTAAAATACTCTTGATTTGGAGTTGCCTTCAAATAGACATTATCTAAAATTTATATTTCTATCCCTAACTTACACTCTAAATCCTCATTTCAAAATTTTTATCTCTAGCTCAAGATGTCTTAAATAAACCATCGTTAGTTTCACGCAAAATCCCTTCCCAGTCAGTTCTGGTACTACTCTTCTAGGTTTCATCACTGGAAACTTTAGAGTCATCTTTGCATACTGGGGATGATAAAATCAGCCTATCAACAAGTCTTCTCACACTCCTTCCTTTAGTGACTCTCAGGTTCGTTCTTTCCTTCCTATTCCCACCACCTTCAATGACATTCCTGCAACAGCTTCTGAATTCATGTTCTTACTGCCAATCTGTCCCACCTGCACACCACTGCCACAATGATCTTTATCCATTCACCAAATATTTGCTGAGTATCTATTATGCACCAGGCACTGTTCTAAATATAAGAAATACTTCAGTAAACAAAATAATATCTGTCTTCATGGAGATTATATTCAGGCAAGGTGAGAGAGATGGCAAGTAGGAAAATAAATGCTACACAGACAACAGAAGCAGGACAGTGTGCTAGAACAATGAAGACATTTAAACTGATACTAGCAAGATAGGAAGTTGAATTCTACAAAAAGATAAAGGAAATTAATCATTTCATATAGAAGAAACAACTAGTAGAAGGGCCCCAAGATAGAAAGGAGCTTATTCCTGTCTGAGAACAGGAGGCAGCAGGTGTGCTCATCTACCACGAGCCAGGAACAGAGGATGGGGAGGAAGTCTGAGAGGCTTCTGGGGGCTCTGCAAGCCAAGGTACGACATTTGGATTTTACTCTAAATGTCCTGGCCTGCCAGTGAAGAGTTGTAACAGAAAGTGACATGATGTGACTTTTGTTTTTTCCAGGTTATCCTGGCTACTGTGAGAAGAATGGATTGTATGGTGAGCGGATGCAGGTGACCAGCCAGGAGTGCAGTTTGGATGAGTGATAATGTGGCTTGGTTGAAGCTGGAAACAGTGGAAAAGAAGAGAAGTGGTCACATTTTGAATGTATTTTAGAGGCAGATTTGACAGGACTGACTTTTAGACTGGATATGAAGCATGAAAAATATAAAACAAACAAGCAAGTCAAAAATGAGTTTTCACTTTTGGTCTGAGTCTCTGCGTTTGCTTACTGATGAAGAAGGGGGAAAGAAGCTGTGTGTACGTGTTGGGGGAAGCATGTTAAGTCAGACATCCAACTGGACAGGTCAAGGAGGCTGTGATGTAGACTGTGAGTCACTGACTTCTGCAAAATCTCTAAATCATGTTGTCCATTCTGCTCCAGAATCTGTAACAGCTCTTCATTGCAGTAAACATAAATCCTTCTATATACCTTTTAATAACTTGAATAATCTAGCACCAGCCTACCTATGCAATTTCATTTCCAATAGGCACCTTACTTTCTAGTCAGGCTGTTATTTTCTCGGCCTCTGCCCTGTCCCCTCCAAATACAAGCACTTGAGCACACACTCCCCACACATAAGCGCATACTCCTGCTTCAGTACTTCCATGCACCTTGATCTCCAAACCCACTCCCCAAGCTCCACACTGAAGGATCGTCCTTCCCAGATCATCCTCCCATCTTAACTGCCACCTATCCTTCCAAATCCAATTCACAGTCCATCTCTTCCATTCACTCCCTCAAACAGTCCAAGCCACTGATCTCTCTCATCTGAATTTCTGTTATACTTGGTCATTACAGTTTATAGAGCATAATAGGAATGAGGTAATAGAATCAGAATTAGCAGGGTAATAAGTACCTGAAACTTAAATGTAACAATAGTGAGAAAACAGTAACCAGCATTTTTTTTCCTTTTTCTGGGTCAAATCTATTTTAGTTATTAATAAATTACACAACCTGTAATTGCGCAGACCTTTGTATCTTCAAAGGGGCTGCTGTATACATCTTTCCATTTGATCTTCACATGGACCCATGAGGAAGGCAAGACCAGTATTAGTTTGCTGAATTGATCAAAAGGCCCAGAGAACTTATTAAACAGCTTGCCTAAGGCCAAAGACCTGGTCACGAAAGCTCTAAGTCAAATTAGGAATGTTATGACATTTTCTAGTATACCAGTTAGAAAATAACAAGAAAAAAGTCACTAAGCACTGATAAAGGCTTTTTTTGAACCATAATCTCAATCAAGCATCAAAAGCTAAAAAGAAAGCCAAATTCCTTTCGACTGTCACTATTTTGATCCCTGTTCATACTGTCTACAGAGACTAGGAGAGAGTCTGCAGAGGGAACAGAGTCCTCAGGGAACCCAAGCCATAATTAATTCCAGATCCAACTTGGGAAATCAGTCTACTCAAAGGTGGACCAAGAGGCCTTGGATAGAATCAAAACCATCCTTTTAACTGACCAAAAAGAGATCAGGAACCCTAAGATCTTTTAGAAGGAAAATGAACTAAGGTGGTGTTAGGCTTCTCTGGCTCATCTGAGCCCTACACTCAAGGCTGGGATGGTGCCAGTCAGGTCCCTGGAGCACAGACGGAAGGTGGCTAAGGTGGAAGTCATACATGGAGGCAAAGTACTTTGGTTATTGTTATAATTGCAGAGAACAGCTGGTTCCCCATATTCTAAAGGCCTAAGCACTCTTTATGACATTTTCTTTCTTCTTTTAAGACTACGTCACAAGGCAGTATAAGATTATGTGCCATATTTATTCAGCTAAACTCTAAATTTCACGTAGTTTTTTTGGTAGAGCTTGCAACACCTGATTTAGAAACCTGTTCTCTGGCACTCAGTAAATGTAAAGACACAAAAAATAATAATAATGGATTTGAATGCTTAGAGTTTTACAGAGAGACAACAAAACAAAATGAATGGTACTGTGTGTAGCGAAAACGCCAGGTCAAGATTGACAATTCAAAACCAGTAGAACTAGAAAGTGAACACTGAAAAACAATCATACTAAAAAAAGTCATGATGTTCTTGCTTAAAGATCGTATACCCTTTTCCAATCTTTTAATTTTACAACTGGGGAAACTAGTAGTTGGTGAAAAAGTGAGGATAAAAACATATTTCTAAATTGCTAGACCTGGTGATTTTTCATTTAGAACATGTTGCATGCAGATGTAAATAGATAACCTGTCTGCGAACAAGAATGGGGGGCAGCCTACTTCATTTCTATTTCCCTGGAGAAAACCGAAAGGAGAGAAATCAGAAGTGTGATCCCATGAACCCCACCACAGTTCTGCCCCATGACTTTCCTCATTTAATGGCACATAGTGATATAAGCAGCCAAAGCAATGAATGCCTGGACTTGCTGTTGACGTTAAAATGATTTTTAAGTGTGCCCCCTTAAAATTACTGCTGTGTTTCCTGGTGCATTTCTGGTCGGACACGGTGGCTCATGCCTATAATCTCAGCACTTCGGGAGGCTGAGGCAGGTGGATCATGAGGTCAGGAGATAGAGAACAGTGTGGAGAACATAGTGAAACCCTGTCTCTACTGAAAATACAAAAAAATTAGCAGAGCGTGATGGTGTGCACCTGCAGTCCCAGCTACTCTGGAGGCTGAGGCAAGAGAACTGCTTGAACCCGGGAGGTAGCAGTTGCAGTGAGCCAACATTATGCCACTGCACTCCAGCCTGGGTGACACAGCAAGACTCCATCTCAAAAAAAAAAAAGAGATGCATTTCCTTTTCATCTCTCATTACATAGCTATAGTTTTGAAAACATATTACTCCTTTAAAATATGCATTAAAATATTTTCTTTAATGTGCATATATAGAACAAATAGTAAAAAGAAACTCTAAATTACTATGTCATATCACTGGCCTGTCTGGTTATAAACAAAACTTAAGGCATTCCCATAGTGCAAAATTAACAGAAGAAAAATCTGTAAACAGAAACTTAACAGTGGACTCACGTTCCACATCACTGTGATTATGGGATGAATATTATTTTCTAATGTAACTGTCTGCTTTCATAATGAGTTTAGGTCCTCTGTTAGGATTCATGAAGAAATTAAATGAGATTCAGTGACCCTAATTATTAAGTAATTAGAGTTTAGAATTGAAATTACTGCTATGAATTAGAATACTAATAAAAAATTAGGTTAAGATGTTCCTTCTTGCTGTTAAAAGACAAAATTTAAAATAATTTTCAAACAGGAATCAGCATCTTTTCACAACTTCTGTATTACAATACAGAAGAGAATTTATTACAATAAATTCTCATAAAGCATCTAGCACTGTGCCTAGCAAAGAGTAACCCCCGAAAAATAAACAACAACAGGGAATAATTAGTACTAACCAGGTCTTAGCAAACATTTCCTGGAAATAAATGAACTGCCGAAAATAGGAAAGCAGAGACTTTCTGCCTGTGAGGAAAACCTTCTGGAGGAGCTCACCTATTTGTCGGTAAGGAATGTAAACAATCAGAGCCAAGGCTTTGGGATGAAAACACATATACTGGGTTAAATAAAAAATATTAAATGAGCTTCATCTGTTTATTCTGATTTTTATTAATGCGGTAACTAGAGAATTTAAAATTACATATTTAATAGTTTGCATTGTATTTCTATTGGACAGTACTGGTCGAAACAATTGGTTGGTAATACAGAATAACTGCATAAACCTCCGAATGTCTCCAGGACAACTTTTCTGGTGAAACATAAATAAGTAATCTCTTTGCAAGAAAGTAAAGAACAAACATATGCCAAATCTTAAACCTGGGAACTAGAAAAGTACACGAAACATCTAAAACATATTCCAAAAGCATCCTACATTTTCTGGAGGAAGGATGGGTAAACTTTTTCTGAAAAAGACTAGAGAATAAATATTTTTACCTTTGTGGGTCAGAGGGTCTCTGTCACAACTATTCAACTGCAACTACTCAGTGCAAAGGCCAGCCATAAACAATATGTAAACAGACAGGCCTGGCTGTGTTCCAATAAAACTTTATTAAAACAGGTCTACTGAATTTGTCTTGCAGCCTATAGTTTGTCAACTCCTGTTACAGAGCAAAATACTAGGAATTCAAATTTCAAAATCCCAGACAACATGAGTTTTAAACTGACCACATTTGCCTTAAACAATAATACTAAAGAACAAGAAAGGTCCAAATCAGCAGAACAGCAGCAATGGCTTCATTTGGAAAAAGACGGAAATTACTAAATGAGACAAATGATAAGAAAAATGAACAAAAAAAACCCTGTTGTCTCTGGAAACACTTCTTAAAAAGTCATGAAAGAACCACCAACTTACATTTAACTCTATTATCCACAGTAACGTTACAAATAAGAGGTCAAAGGTGACAAACAAACAGAAAGTCCTCCTGACATCAGATATGCCTTTCTTTTCCCTTCCTTCATAGGACTCAATCCTGGCCATGAGTTGTGTGGGGTTGATGGAATGGATGTTGCGCAGAGAAGCATGGGAGCTCTGGCTCCCGGTGAGAGCGTTCTCCATGTCTTCTGGCAGGTGGTTCATCCTGGAGGAGGGTTACAGGAGCCTTTTTCCAACCTCACCATCCCTAAAGAGAAGACACCTTTGGGAAATAAAATAGAGACACCATGTTAAATCCAAGCTGATCAAATAGAACTGTGTTACCCTCTCCACTGTGCAACTATTTCTCTAACTGAACAACAGAGTACCTTGACTGATTTATGTTTCCATGAAGACATAAAGAGAAAGAGAAATGAGAGCAAAACATAATGTTTTAGAGCAATACTACAAAACAGCTGTTGTAGCAAAGAATGGCAATAGAGAAGAAGCAAACTGACTGTAGGAAAGGGTGAAGAACAGGATGTTAGCTACAACTGAAAGCAGTGTTCCTGACGACCTGGAGCAAGCCTCTTGGTGAACAACTCACGCCGGTTACCTTTCTGTGCCAGGGAGAAAACCTCCACAGTCCTGTAAGTATAATTATGCATAGGCTAGAAAATCATTTACTGAAAGCTTTCCTGGAACATGTAAGCAGAATGTGTAAATTAGCTATAAAAAAGCTTATTTCCAAGGCTGGGCAATACAGCAAGATCCTGTTTGTACAAAAAAGAAAAATTAGCTGCGCATGGCAGCACAAGCCTATAGTCCTAACTACTCAGGAGCGGCGTGGGAGGATCGCTTGAGCCCAGGAGTTGAGGTTATAGTGAGCTATGATCATACCACTGGACTCCAGCGTGGGTAACAGAGCAAGACATTGCCTCAAACAAAAAACAAAAACAAAACAAAAATCACACAAAAATCCTTACTTCCTAAGGAGGAATTTCTTTCCATCAAAAGTACCTTATAAACTAAAGTTAGCATTTCCCCATACTCTCAATGAACAAGGATGTTTCTAGGCCTCTTCTTGGAAAAGAAGTGCACACTTCAAAAAGTTTAGCACCAGGCAAACCACCCGACCAATAATTACAGAAGGTATAGTTCTATACAGAGATGCAGGCCCCTCAAGACCAGAGAGCACTTTTATAATAAAAATAAAAGATGAGCAATCTAAATAATCTGATCTGCTTATGGATGGGACAAGGATATTAAACAAAGTGTGGTGCATGGTATGATTGTCAAGTAGTCAAGTTTCCTTTTCTGTAGGACCTCTCCCTGTGGGATTATATACTCCTGGCTCTACTGAACTCATATCTGTTCTTTAGTCATGAATGTGACATGTAAGTGGGCAGAAGTTCATATGCCACTTGTGTCCAGAGCCGGTGCATGAAGAGCCAGTACGTGGCTCACTACGTTCTCGTTTCTTTCTGCCACAATGACTAGCAATGTCCAGGTAAAGAAGAGGACTTTCAAAGCCATAAAATAGAATTTAGAAACAGATGGCTGAGATTTCCCTAAGGCAATATGATCCTATTTGGTTCTATCATTCACTGTCCAGAACTTTTTCTCTTTACACTTGACCCTAATTTCTCTTCCTTTCTAATTCCTAATTCCACACTCAGGAATCAAAGTCTTTCTCATACTTTTTAACAATGTGGTGGTAAAATGGCACAGCATTTATGAAGGCAATTTGATTATATGAAATAAGTTACTTTAAAACACCCATACTTCTTGATCTTGTAACCCTAAATCTAAATGAGATTAACCAAGCTACAGACATTCAAAGCAAAAACTGATCTATGGCCTTAAAGGTCAGGTTACTGATTATCTTCAAGAAAGAGGGAAGAAGCAGTGATTAGAAGGCAGAGGGTAGAGGACATATTTAGGGGACTTGGTAAAGTTCTGTTTCTTAACCTGAGTAGTGACAACATGGTTGTGTTCATTTAGTGATAATTTATTGATGTACACAGTAGTTTTAGTCATGTGTTAGCTCATGAAAAATTCAAAATGCTATATAGTATATACATGTACACACAACTGAATAGTGTATATTATCTTTCAATAAAAATCCCTATTAAAAAACTTTATCATAAGGTATCTATAATAGTCTCAATTAGAAAACAACCTAAATAACTAATTAGAATAATTAGATAAATCACGGTATAGCCACAGTATAGTCACTAAAATAAATGTTTATGGAGCATTTGTAATGACTTAAAAATGCCTGGGTTATGATAACTAAATTAAAAATCGAATACTAGGCCCGGTGGGGTGGCTCATGCCCGTAATCCCAGTACTTTAGGAGGCCAAGGCGGCGGATCCCGAGGTCAGGAGATCGAGACCATCCTGGGCCACCCCCTGTCTCTTACTAACAGTCACATATGGCTTCTTGGTGGTAGGCGCCTATAGTCCCAGCTACTCGGGAGGCTGAGGCAGGAGAATGGCATGAACCTGGGAGGTGGAGGTTGCAGTGAGCTGAGATCGCGCCACTGCACTCCAGCCTGGGCGGCAGGGCAAGACTCTGCCTCAAAAAAAAAAAAAAAAAAAAAAAAAATCGAATACTAAATGGAATACACACACATATAGTATGTTCAGAACTCTGTAAAATAAACCTAAACCGAATTCTTATAGGAATGCACCTATGAAATATATCAGATATTACCGATGATTCTCTCTGACTGATGAGATTATATTTTCCCTCTCCTTTGGCCTTTTTCACACTTCTTGCACGTGTTATATGTTTACAAAGAGAGGCACTAAATTCAAACATCACTCTGTCGGGGTTCTGGACAGATGCCCTCAGAACCCTAAGCAGCCTTTCCCTTTCTTTTCCGCCGATCCAGGCAACATTAGGTAATGTGTCTCATTCAATTTGTTTCCTCAGAGTCAGCAAATCAGCAAAGCATTTTGAAAAACTCAGTAAGAAGCCACTTAAGTGTTTAGTAAAAGGAAAGAAAATATTAAGCTCCCAAATTGAAAGTATTCTTATATAATTTCTGTCTTAATGAGATCAATGCCACCCTAGTGGAAGGCATAGCATCGGCATATTCCCCAGTAGCAGCTCTTAACACAAAGCTTGCAAGGCGCTACTACCTGTCAGACTTCTAGGAGTTAATTCTGAAACAATAAGTAAATATGAATGTAATTAATACATCTTTTGTGATGAAACACACATTTTAAGTTTAAGAAAATAGCTGAGGCCGGGCGCAGTGGCTCATACCTATAATCCCAGCACTTTGGGAGGCCGAGGCGGGCGGATCACTTGAGGCCAGGAGTTCAAGACCAGCCTGGTCAACATGGCGAAACCCTGTCTCTATCAAAGGGAGTGGGAGCGGTGGTGCACACCTGTAGTCCCAGCCACTTGGGAGGCTGAGGCAGGAGAATTGCTTGAACCTGGTGGCAGAGGCTGCAGTGAGCTGAGATCATGCCACTGCACTCCAGCCTGGGCAACAGAGTGAGACTGTCTCAAAACAAAACAAACAAAAAAAAGAAATCTGGATGAATGAATACAGACATATTTATGCAACAATATATCCTACATTATGATAAAGCAATTCAGATAATTCTAAGCCAGTCTCATAATTAGCAGCTATACTTAAAAATTAATTTAAATTATTAAATTCACTAATATGTGAACAGAAAATTGAACAAACTCAAAATTCAAACTGAGGACCAATTTTAGGAGGAAGATCATTTTCAAGGAAATTAAATCATTTTCTTACTTTCACTCCTATTTCCTTCCACAAACCCACTTCTTGTGGATAAAAAAGATTAATAAAGCAACATACAACCCTAGAAATCTGAGATACATTTCAAAATAAAATATGATATTAAATACACAATGGAATACATATGGCTTGGGAAATAAGAATCATTACACGATTTTTCATATGTGTATGTGTAACTGCTAATTAGTAAGAATTTATAGATACTTTCACCTCAATAAAAAAAATGTTACACAAAGCACAGACATCTCTGAGCAGACTGGCTCTAATCAAACTGATCTTTCTCTGGGAAAGAGGGAAGTTGTAAAAAGGCAAGCGAGCTTGCTTTTCTTTTTCTTTCTAACTTACCTACTTAATCCAGTGAATTAACTGGTCTAGATGAAACCAATGACAAGGTTAATCTCCATTAGGTTATGAAAACACACAGTTCAGACTTCTAGAATTAATTTTTTGAGTGAAACTTTTACTCAAAAACAGAAAAATAAGAGAAGAAGGTTGCTTAGTTTGAGGGACTCATGTTAAAAACATACTATTCGAACTCAGAAACATTTGGCCATCTTTGTCCTCTATCTCCCTTACTGCTGGTGAAACTGACTAACAGTCACATATGGCTTCTTGCAGCACACAACAGCAGGTCAACAAATTTGACAGCTTCTTCTCCCCATGCCCCCCAAAAACAATTACTCCTGATTGATAATATATTTGGGGGATTGGAAAGGGCCTGTGGGCTGGTGGGAAAAGAGAGCTCAAGAATCTTTCTTACTCCTACAAAGCAGACTGTAAACTGGAAAATTTGGGAAGCACTGGTGAAAAATACTAAGGAAATGTCAGCTAATTTATGCTCTGTAGGAAACTCTTGGTTTCTGCATTATTAGCCCTTATAATAAGACTGAATTTTTTTTTCTGTGACTCATTTCATTGGGATAAACTTGAGTTAAAGATATTCTAAATACAAGTGTATTTGAGTTAATATACTAGATATACTTCTAAATGTTTTTAAGGAACTGAGGCTTAACACACAGAATGTTTAGCCTGAGTTCCTTAAAAAATACATAGGTTAAATGAGCATAACAAATAGTGGAACAGGGAAGAACGAGAAGCACTGCACTAGCTTCTTCACAAGCCTTGAAGCGACACAGCAGGTTAAGGGCTGTGATACATTTCCAGATGAGTGAAATGGAGAAACCATGCCTCAGAGCAGTCTGGGGTGGGGGCTTTGAGGGGAACAGTGGGGAGGACTACATCTTCCCAGCTGCTTCTTGTTGTCTATTTCCACCTGTCAAACTCCCCCTGACAGTGAGCCAACTCTACTACCCTTCTAGTTGCTTCATCTGGCCAAAGCAGTCTCTCTTAAAACCAGATTACACATTCCTGGGTATGACATTTCATTCGAGTCTTGAGGGAAGACATGAAAACTGGGTGTGGGACTGGCTAGCCTAGGTGCTGGAACCCCACAGACAATAGTAGAGCTGCCTGCCCAGCAAAGCCAGTGGCTGCAGGT